CCTGTATTTGGTGTGGGTTTAAAATTCAGAGATTTAGAACTATAAACTTAATGAGTCATGAGACCCACAAACATATACGTCAAAACAGTTTCTAATAAATATCTAAAAACGTGCCGAAGTTTTGAGTGAGAAGTTATTGAAAGTTTTCTTGTGTGACAAAATCCTGCCTTGAAAGTATTTTGTTTTGTACTTGCCATTATACGATTGCCAACAAGTATATCTTAAACATTTAAGCAGCTTCCGGTGTTCACTTTTATTAAAATGTAACAGATAATACTGACAGAAAAGAAGTCGCAAATATCCATTTTGAAAATTAGATCAGACTAAACAAATACTCACACAGACGCCTTGTATTCAAATATTTTGGAGTCCATGTTAGCTGCGTGTTTTCTAACTAATAATACACAGTGTCTGAACAGCGTATTTAACCGTGTGTGAAGATATTGATACCCTATCATGCTCATCTCAGGCCCTTCAGCACGACAGTCGTCCTGTGCAAAGTGTGTCCGATAATAACCTACATCAGATCGCCTTACAGATAACCGCGCCAACTGTCGCAGGAGTGATGGATGGCTTCCTGTCGTCCCCCCGGATTTCCCAAATCTCGTCTGATTTTCCACCTCGCTCGCCCGCCATTTTCTCCGGGAAATGAGCCAGAAGGAGAACAGCGTCCAGAATCTTGGTCAATTGTGGTTTGGAGTGGCACCGATTTTTCCCGCCACCTGTCCCCGGATGATGTATGGCTTCTCTTCGACTCCGGTTCCTCGGCCTTGTTCGATTTTACGCGCGGATCGGTCCGCCATTTTGCGCGGCAAATGAGCGGGAAGAAACCGTGCCAGCCCGCCGCGATGACTGTTGTTTGGAATCATTTCTGTCAGGCATTCTGTCAGAGAAGCAATGGCGGGAAACTGTGTCAGTCTGTAAGGGGGGTCGTTTGACATTTCACCATGTCAACACATTACCAATGTTTGTCAGAATAGAAATGGCGGGAAACCGTGTCACCCCGTTGACTGTCGTTTGGAATCATTTCTGTCAGCCCTTCTGTCAGAGAAGCAATGGCGGGAAACTGTGTCAGTCTGTCAGAGGGGTCGTCTGATTTCTTCGCCATGTCAACACGCTATTGCAAGTTCTGACAGAGAAGAAATGGCGGGAAGAAACTTTGTCAGCCTGCCGCGACGACTGTCGTTTGGAATCATTTCTGTCAGACATTCTGTCAGAGAAGCAATGGCGGGAAGCTGTGTCAGTCTGTAAGGGGGGGTCGTCTGACACTTCACCATGTCAACACGTTACCAGTATTGCAAAGTTCTGTCAGAGAGGAAATGGCGGGAAACTTTGTCAGCCCGCCGCGACGAGTGTCGTTTGGAATCTTTTCTGTCAGACATTCTGACCGGGCAGGAGTGGCGGGAAACTGTGTCAGACCTCCAGGACTGTCGTCTGACACGTTACATTGTCAACATGTTACTAGTATTGCAAAGTTCTGTCAGAGAAGAAATGGCGGGAAACTTTGTCATCCTGCCACGATGACTGTCGCTTGGAATCATTTCTGTCAGACATTCTGAGTGGCGGGAAACTGTGTCAGACCACCAGGACTGTCGTCTGACACTTAAACATGTCAACACGTTACTAGAAAAGTATTGCAAAGTTCTGTCAGAGAAGAAATGGCGGGATACTTTGTCAGTCCGTCAGGAATGTCGTTTGACATTCCACCATGTCAACATTAGTGCAAAAAAGTTCTGTTAAAGAAGAAGTGGCGGGAAAAACTTTATCAGCCTGTCAGGACTGTCGTCTGAGACGTTACCATGTCAACACGTTACTAGGCCTGTATTGCAAAGTTCTGTCAGAGAAGAAATGGCGAGAAACTGTCAGCCTTTCAGGGAGGTCGTCTGACATTAGTTCAATGTCAACACTTTACTGCAAAAAGTTATTTCTGTCAGAAAAGAAAACTGTGTGTCTGACTGCGCCATATCAAAACATTATTGTAAAAGAAGCTGTACAACGCATTTTGTCTGAGAACTTTAGTGACCTGAAACTGTCAGGCAGTCAGGACTGTCGTGTGACATTCCACCATGTCACTGAAAAGTAAGGTTTTGTCTGAAAAGAAGTGGCGGGAAACTGTATCAGGTCGTCTGACATTCGATGTTGCATAGAATCCATGTCAGTCCACCATGTGGAGTTTTTGGTCTCACTGTCAAAGCGATAAAATGGCGTCAGAATTCGAATTTTCCTTCACCAGCTGACCTGACGTTTTTGCTGTAGATGCCATTGTTTTTATGTCGTATTCATAACTTTAAAACTTTGTCGAAATGCGCAGTAGGAAAAACATACTGTTATAACTTCAATCATCTAAAGATAACTTCAGTTATCTCAAGCTTAACCAAATTGTTGGTGAAAGTCCTCTTCTTGTGTTTTGTAACTATGCTGCCCTGAAAAACTACAAGTCGACCCTTTGGAGGTTATTGACCTTGCCAGCGAAGCCGCCATTTTGTTTGCCCACTGAGGCGGAAGGATCCGTGGCTGTAGAGTCGGGTGATGGGGTCTGTGCAGCGGCGTTAGACAAGCTAGGCCCTGTACAAGATGGCCGTAAAATATAAAAAGAACATGTTACCACTCTTAGTGTCCAAAAAGATTTCTGTCACAAGTTCTGTGTCGGATTGGCGGGAAGAATTGGCGGGAAAGTGAGTCACGCCGTAAGAAGTGTCGTCTGATTTCCCATACTACTAACCAGTGACTACTCCGACATTTTAGGTTCTCCCCCATTTAAGAGCAAACTCCTAGCAGATCTTCGGTGGCAAATCTAAAATCACGTCGACCGTCGGAGGGTTTCCTACATGCCCAAGACCTGTAGCGTCTACCAGGCTTCAGGACATGGCTAAAAAATGTAGAAATTGGCCGACTAGCTATAGAGAGGACGGAGAGGCGCCAAGTGTACATTTTGCATGACTCTCGTCGACCGGACCATTGGCCAACTCTCTCGGCATGTTATCTCTGCATTTGTCCAATTTCTACTCTTTCCAGCCGCCTCCCGAAGCCTGGTAGAGGCTACATTTTTAGACCTGTGCAGGCTGGGTCCATGAGGCAAGCTCGGGGGAGTGTGACAAGATCTTGTTAGATATCGCCCCCGCGGATCTGCTTGGATCTGCCCGAGTGTGTGTCCTGTCCTGTCAGAGATGATGTATGGGTTCCCACCACGGTCTGCCGCGCCGCTAAGGCGAAGACATGTTAGATTTTCCACCCCAAAACGCCCACCGTTTGTGCTTACCAAATGAGCGGAGAAATTACTTATCTAGGGGTTCTGTTAAAGAGGCAGTTTGCAATAATTGCGAGTGTCCCGAGCCGGGACCTGTCGGGGTTTGACAGATCGGCGGCGGAACTTCCCCACTCCGCTGGCGGCGCCCCTCGCACACCCCGCCCGGCAAGCTTCCCACAGCGCGGTCGCTCCGCTACTTTACCCACCTAATGAGCGGGAAGACATCACACATGCACTGCTATGTTACAGTATCAACACGTACAGTTAAACTCAGGATTCTTACATATATTCGGCTCATGGCGTTACTCTCCAAGCAGAGGTTGTGGGGGAATGATCGTTAGCTTTTTTAATGGCCGTTTTTTTTTTGTCGCTACCCCCGTCGGTGGCTGGCGACCTTCTCTGGCTAATGGATACTGCCTGGCCAATTTGATAAATTTCATTTTGCCACCGAAAGGGATCTGCTCGGAGATTATGGCGTTATGTAATCGCAGATTTGGCCCACACTTAGAATGTGTGATGCTGTGGCAGTAGACTCTCAATTTTTATCATTTTAGATTTAACAAGTTGCAGGTAATCTCGTGCCAAGCTGGTGATAATTTTTCCCAAGTTTTGAGCACTGTTAGTAACGTATGCCAGCAGGACGTCTGCGATATTTCCACTTGTTTTTATCACAGCTCCCCTTGATTGCTTTACTCGGTAAACTTCAAACATAATTTTTAGAACTCCGAGTCAGCAAGTTACCGTAACAGATGATGTGAAAAGTACGAACAAAGTTCAAACTGACAAACAGTCTCCTGCAGTGTGGCATCGCGGGCGTTCCCATAACGCTGGGCCTACAGTAAAAGGTCGCCAGGTCAAAGGTCTGAGTGAAACGCCCAGACTGATTAGTCCCGATGACTTAACAAAGCGGCCGGGCAGCCTTGGCATTCTGGGGGGAGAGAAAATAAAGCAAGCAGACAACTCAAGAAACAGCCTGGATGAACTAGGCGCGTGGCCCGCAAAACCCTCTCGCAACATATGTTGATTAGAGAATTTCGGCGAAGTTTCACTCCTTATATTATAATAGTAGTAGCTATTCACTCAAGAGCTGCCTCAAATTGTCTGGAATTTACTTGTGTTTACTTGTGTTTGTTTCTTAAGTAACTTTGTACAACCCCTTTTAACAAATGTCGTGTCGTAGAACTTTAAATCAATCTTGTTATTATAATAAGTCCAGTTGCCAAACTCGCATATCTTGGGTAGCAAAGAGTACCCAGGCGACGAACACTCGTTCGTGTGTTTTGTACATGCAACATTTGAACAAACAAGAGATTGTCAGTGATCTGAACCAACCTGTTTACTTACCATTTGCTATGGACGTCCAGATTTGCCTAACTGTGGAACACAGCTGTAGGCCTCGCAGCGCCGCCCTGCGATTACAAAATGAACTGTACTATATTTACATAGAGCCTTAAGGACAAGGCAACCCTCTCCCAACACTAGACCCAAAAGATTTTGGCCGCTCTTTAGCTGAAGAACTGTTAAAATATGATCTTATATAAATTATTTCAGTGTATCTGAATGATTCTTTACTTTATTCCTATATTATGAATGAGGTCTTCATCTAATACATTGGGAACTACTACATTTTATTCAATAAGCCAAAAGTAACACTTAATGTTGAATAACTTTTATGATGTCACGATGATCATGATGTTGCTAGATTTGTGTGGTGCTGTTGATGTTGACCCCTGCCCTTTGCCCTTTGCTCCAGGTGACGGGAAACTTGCCTCCCAGATTCTGACCCTGCACGGCTATCAAGGTTGGAACCGTTACCATGGCAACTACACCAAACACAAACTGCACGATTACACACAAGACAACATTTTGAAAAAAAATCCATTTGACCTTGATGTCAATGTCATATATATTTTGACCCCTGTGAAGGGCAAACCAAATATGACACTGTCAAGTAGGTCAAATGTCAGGTTAACAAAATGACGTCTCTACTGAATTGTGCCAAAATAACCTACTATACATAATTATTGTATCATATGTAAAAGGCAAAATATTACTAACTGAATTGAAGCTTTGAATAATGTTGCATTTTAAACCCAAATTAAGCACAACTAGCCCATTTCTTTAGTTCCTTAGTTCCCTACTTTTTTTATACCAATACACCCTCTTAGAATTAAGACATTTATTTTTCTAAAACTTCCCTTTCTGTGAACTTGACTTATTTCTTATGTGTACTTTAGACCAGGGCGACGGCAGTAACGACGACTCTGACGAGGCCCAGGCCCGCTTGCGGCTGAAGAGAAAACTGCAGCGCAACAGGACATCCTTCACACAAGAACAGATAGAAGCACTGGAAAAAGGTGATGACAACACGATCCCTATCCTTTTTTCTCTCTAAGGAAAGGGATAAATGGTGCTGTTACTATTTAGAAACCATATCTATAGTAGACATGGGTATATTTAACAAACGCCAGAGGTCGGAAGCTCAACTTCCATAGTTAAAGAGTTTCCCCACTGAGTTCACATAAACAGCGGTATTGTCTATCATGATTATCTATTATTATCATTAACATTGTCTATTATTATTAATATCATTATAGTTAATTGAACCATCATTAACTATATATATCATTACAAAGTCCCCAAACCCGCAGAGTTTGAGAGGACCCACTATCCTGGTCATTAACTTTTGTTATTAACCCGCAGAGTTTGAGCCCTGGTCATTAATTATTGTTATTAACCCGCAGAGTTTAAACCCTGGTCATTAACTATTGTTATTAACCCGCAGAGTTTGAGCCCTGGTCATTAACTATTGCTATTAACCTGCAGAGTTTGAGCCCTGGTCATTAACTATTGTTATTAACCCGCAGAGTTTGAGCCCTGGTCATTAACTATTGTTATTAACCCGCAGAGTTTGAGAGGACCCACTACCCAGACGTGTTTGCGCGGGAACGGCTGGCGGCGAAGATTGACCTTCCTGAGGCCAGGATACAGGTGAGAACACGGATCTGGTCTCTTCTACATGTATACTAGTGTACAAGCTAAGTCGATCTGATGTACGATTTAGACTCCCTCCCTTTACCTCTACGTGCACGTTCACCATTTCCATATACATCCAGCTATATGATAAAGGTAAGAACACACTGACAGCTCTGATTTCTCCTATGTACAAGTAGACACGATTTATGATTTGAGTGCCTTATATGTTCCCCTAAGGGCAAGTAACACCACCATCCCCGCCACACACACACACCTCCTCCCCCATAAGATGTAGTTCCATAGGATCCAGCATTTCCATATGAATCCAGCTATTTGTGTCTATGAGAACAGGACACATTATGTCCTTTCCGCATAGTCATGACCTGTGGCAGATACGACGTTGTACCAGTATAGTTCATTCCAAAAAAGTATTTAGCCTCCTTGTTCCATCTATAGCCTTTAGTTAGTAAAGTAGCTAAGCTGAAATGCAGTTGCTTACCTGCCGTTTCTGGCTGCAGAGCTCAAAAGTTGCTGTTTCTGGTAGCTAAGCTCACACAAATTTGTTTCCTGCCGTTTCAGGTCTGGTTTTCCAACAGACGAGCAAAATGGCGGCGAGAGGAGAAGCTGAGAAACCAGCGTCGTTCCCAGGATAGCGACAGCTCGTCCCCAAGCCGGATACCCATCAGCTCCAGCTTCAGCACGGCCACCATGTACCAGCCCATAGCGCCCCCTAGCGCCCCCGTCATGTCACGCAGCAGCCACGCCGGGCTCACCGACAGCTACTCCTCCCTGCCACCGGTCCCAAGGTGGGAAAAGTGCGTCGACGTTTCCTTACTACATATCAAACCTGTCTATGTGTTTGTCTGTGTTAGAGCTGCAGTTTGAATAAATTTCTCTAGATGGCGTAAATGATGAAAAACTAAAGATACTAGTAGATCAAGAACATTGCATTGTATATGTCAAGCAGATACGCGGACAGAATTTTTTGTTTCTAGATATTTTGTAATATGTACCTCCTACACACACATATTTGATTTTCGTCTTCGTGAAATGCACCCTACTATACTTTTTACAGCGTCCAATTAAGTCATCTTTGGCTCCTCAACTATAGAAACCCCTGCGCTCTGCTACCTTGTAGAGATGAAGATAAAGCGGGCAACCCGGCTCAGAAATATGGATTAAGAATAGTGCTTAAAATGAAACTTAAAAATAGAATTTATCTAGCGAAACGTCTATGATGATACAGTGATCCAGGCGTTATTATATTCAATGCGTTGCGTTCACGACAAAAATACCAGCTTTTGTCTTGCTTCAATCATGTTTATTTATTTATGTTCTCTCACTCCGTCCCTCCCTCAGCTTTTCCGTTCCCGGCAACATGGCGCCCATGCCCAGCATGCAACAGTCACGTGAGCAGACGTCATACTCCTGTATGATCCCGCACTCCACCGCCATGACACCTCGGGGGTAAGTCTGCCTTCTTTTTTTTCATTTTATTCCAACAATTCATGACAATACATCGAGACGGCAAACTAAAGTTTTTTCAACATATTTCATATGCCGCAACCGTCCCAGAGGACAAATACAGGACAGGACAATACTCATTGTCACTTGAGTTAAAATGAGGAAAGTCTGCCTTCAAGTAGCTCTAATTTACACTGGACAAGTTTAAAAGATGCAGGAACTTCGAAATTTTCTTATTTGTTTTATGTAACATCCACTTTCTTCAGTGACTATCATTGAACCTTGAACGGGGACATCAGGATGTTTGACTGGAAATTCCTTGTGTATTTCATTACCTGGATGACTAGCCTTCACCGACCTATCGCAGAGTAGCTCCGGTTTACTCCAGACAAGTTTGGCGTGATTCAGGAACTTAAAAATTTATCAAGAAGAAGCAGTTACTTTCTTTTGAACCATAGATTTGCTTTTGTTTATTTTTGTTCATTTGTTTGTTTACTTGTCCAGCTACGACTCCCTTGCCCTGGGCAGCTACAACCCGACCCACGCGGGGCATCACGTGACCACCACCCACCCCTCCCACATGCAGGCGCCGAGCATGACGGGACATAGTCACATGACCCACGCCAACGGGGGCTCAGCAGGTAACAACACTTACCATAAATAAATAAAATAAATAAATAAATGAACAACACTCATTAATGCCTTCTTTACAAATAAAACCCAGAATCGTCTCTATAGCTTTTCTAAAATATACCAACTTTTATAAACGTTTACGAGTTTCGATTTAGATGTACAAGAGCATCAATAAAGCCTTTAAGCAGGTAAAATTCATGTCATGGCATTCATGTCTTTGCTTTATAGACAAGTGCCTAAAGTGTCATCACGAAGTTTTTTGAGCTAGTGCACAATGGCAAAATTTGCGCCTGGCTTGTTAAGATATGTTCTAATGATGAAAAAGGCCTGTTTTTAGCGCTATTTGCTTGCTGAAATATTTTCTAATGATGAAAAAATACTTTTCTAGCGCTCTACTTGCCGAAATATTTTTCCAGCGCTTGGCTTGCTGATAAAATATTTTAAAATGATGAGAAACTTAAAATGAAAGGCCAGTTTCCAGCGCTTTTTGCTTGCTGAAATATTTTCTAATAATGAAAAAGCGCTTTTTGCTTGCTGAAAAAATTTCTACTGATGAAAAAGGCATGTTTTAGCGCTCGGCTTGCTGAAATATTTTCTAATGATGAAAAAGGCCTCCTGTTTTTCCAGGCCTGATCTCGCCTGGCGTCTCGGTGCCAGTCCAAGTGCCGGGAGCCGTCACAGAGGAAATGACGTCACAATCCTACTGGCCGCGGATCCAATGAGGAGACAGCAGAAGCTATCCCAGCAGCCACTGCGTTTCTCCACCCGCCATTTTGAAAACCCGAGGTCCAACCGGCGTTATGTATTTATTAAGAACTTGGGAAAACTTTTGACAGTGTAACTTTTTGTATCTAAAGCATCTATTGATAATCGAGTGGATTTTGTGGTATAGTTAGCGTGTTGCCTTCTTTTATAAAATACTGGGGTAAAACTTAGGCTGTCAATACATCCGCTTTGTAGGTTTATCAGTTCGCCAATCGCTAGACTAGAATGGAAATTATAGTGCTTTAGATTTTCTGAACAATGAAAAAGAATGATTCAACAGAAAGATTTTGTCATGAATATAAATATTGTGGTGTATTTTCAAGCCAAGGTATTTGTAATAATTACAAGTCTACGTAGCTCAAAATATCTGTATTGTATTCGGCTTTTTGCGTTGATAGAGTATGTTATAGATAGGCTTATTCCCCCGCTGTTGTTGATTTTAGCTGTTGGTGTAGACATTTTTGTTTGTTTATTTGTTTGTTTGTTTAGATATCGGATGTCAGGGTAAACCATCCGTCTATTGTGCTGTTATAAGCAGCAATTGGGACGTCCATTGTTAACCATTCATTATGTTTTATGTATACTTTATGTACGTAACAACTAAATGTCTTGTTAAAGTTTGCTAATTTACGCCTTTTCCAGCAGTTTGCCCGCAATGTTAGTTAGGCCGGTTTCTAGTTTGGATGAAAATTGCGTTTTAGTTTGCTGCACTTTTATTGATTTTATTTAAGCGTATTTTATTCGCTATTACAAGCATTACGCTTTAAAGATTTCGGGTATCGAAAAATATTTACAAAAATGCAAAACAAGCAGCTTTCAGAAAAATAGCAGATACCGTTCAGGCTAGCATGTGATTTTTTTATCGCTGCCATTTACATATTTTGTGAGGCCATAATTTGTTTTTACGTCTTTACGTGCTGTATGTATTACTTTAGATTTTATGTAACAATATCAAGCATATCAAGTCTAAATCCATCTTTCTGTATGTTATTAAGTCGTATTAATCAGACCTCTGGTAGTAGGAAGGTGTTTGTTTATGTCGTAACCATGACGACACACCTGAGGTTAAAGGTCAGACCGGTTTTTACACAGTGAACGTTAATAAACAGCGAACCAATCAGTAGCAAAAAGTGAAATCTTACTATCTGTACAGGCTTTTCATTGGACGTCAGTTTCGCCATGTTACAGTACAGCGTAACCCACCAATATGGCCGCTCGGTAGTCAACTCATAATCATTATGATGTCAATTAAAAGCCTTTGTTCAGCTATTTAGGTAGTCCAAATAGTTTATCAAATGTTTGTCACTTTGAATCAGTCAAAGTCAGTCAAAATATTACAAATTACTGGTATTATGGTTTTATTTACAGCAATGTTTTATTATGTCATATCAGCCTCAATATGTTTGCAAACGCTTGTATAGCTACGAAGGAAGGTATTTGTATGATTTGCCCTGTCTTTCCAAATCAGTGACGATCTTTTTGAAACCATACAAGGTGATAGTTCAGGCTTTCGTTATGTGCATTTTATGAATATCTTTACATTTAAAACTATTCAATCTAAGATTTTAAGTGTTTTGTTCAGTCCTTTATGTTTTATGTTTCGTTTTAGATGTAGAGTAATAACTGCGGTTGAAAACCAGTACTGTGGGTGATGACTGTATATTGTGCAGACTATATATGTAGGACTTTTGTATCGTAAGGCTGTTGCCGAGGTGCGTCAACATGCCCTGGTGTGTTCTGGGAAGGGTCACGTGTCTGTAACTTGACACCAGGTGGCCATGTTGGATTAGAACCACAGGAGAAACATGATTTTAAATATATGTTCTACAGCCCTTCAAAATTGACGTTCCTCTTTGTAAACAAAGAAATAAACCTTTAAAATAGAACCATAAGTTATGACGAAAAATAAACAATCAATAAGAGCATTTTAAAAACACCACAACCTGCCCCACCTATGTTTAAACTAATGAGAAAACATTGTTTTTGCTCAACTATGCCCTACAGATACATTGCACGATGTCTACATTCCATCACCTGTAAAAAAATGCCAACATCACATCGTTTTTTTCACAATGATTTTATGATAGGGAAGGAAACGGTACCAATCAAATCCAACAATTTTCCACTAACCAAATCTCGCCACCAATTCTCGCGAGAAATGAAAGTCCTGTACCACGTGGGTATGTTGGCGTATGTTGGAAAATTTGCCTCATATTGTTATTCATTAAATCCAGCAGGTATGTACAAAATGTATCATACCGACGTTGCAGTGAAATATTCCTCCTGGTGAAAGTATATTACTCCTTTTCTTACTGATTGTGACTGGTGAGAGATACTATTTCCGGCGAGACGGGCTTTATTTTTACGTCATCAGCCATATGATCATGTGGTCTATTTTACACAGTCTTCAGTGACGTCACAACACTGGAATAAAGTCCACATGTTGCGGGGAAAGTGTGTCGGTCTCAGTGCATTGTGGGTAGTGAGACAGCATTTACTGATAGAGAAAGGTTTGGAAGTTTGAATACAGAATAGAAAATGATTGAAACATGATTAGAAAGATGAATGGATGGATGGAAGAGTGGATGGATGGATGGATGGATGGATGGATGGATGGATGGATGGATGGATGGGTGGGTGGGTAGATGGATGGGTGGATGGATAGAGAGATGGGTAAATGGGTGGATGGATGAAAAGGTAAGTGAATATCTGGGATAGATTCCATGTATGGACTTCTTGAGTTGGATTCAGTTGGAAAAATCACAGCTATAGCAACGGATAAAGTTCTATTTATCAAGAATAGTTCTGGCTATCCAATGGATTTACAACAAAACTCACTCTTTGGTTCTCAAATATGACAAGAAGACATTCTAACCCAGAAGCTACTTCACATGAATTGAAAGTTACAAACATATACTTAAATCTTAAAGCTTCCATTCACCATGAAATAGCCATTGCTTTCCAATAGGTTTACAAAAACTTGTTTTTGTTGACTCAAATATAACAAGAAAACATTCTGATTAAGAATCTACTTCACATGATTTCAAACATAAAAATTTATCGGTTTAAATCTTAAGGTGGCATCTAAAATGTAATCATGAAAAGTTGAAGTAATGTGGTGTCAAAAAAACAACTGTACATTTAAAAAAAGGAAAAAGTTTTGAGGGGCAAAAAAATTGAAAGTCTCAAAACTCGTCATGTATGAATCCGTCGTCATCATCATCGTACCTCAGGGTGTCAATCACTTCCGGGTCAGCCTCGATCTCGGACCGGGTCAGTTTCCCGTCCTAGAAGGGAACAGATAAGACAAGTATCAGCATGGATAGTGTATTAGTTAAAACCCAAAGAAATGCCTATCTAATTAAAGGAATGTTATTGATTCCGTGTACAGTCAAAATTGCCCAAGCGCCAAAACCTCTACAAGACGGCCATCTGGCCATATCAAAAGCTTTTTTTTTTCCGTCCACTAGCTAGGTAGTCGTCTTAGACAAACTTGACTGTGTTTTCTGTAGAAAACCTTGAATGAGGCTACCCTGCTGTTTGAAAACTGACCTAAAAGAAAAAAGTGAATATGAAGCAATTAACCCGGTGATCTGCTATGAAGGATACAAAACACAGAACCCTCCGTATCTAATTTTTGTGCAGCTTGTTACTAATAACTTCTTTGATTAGGTATATGAATTTATTTGTGGTGGAACGGATTGGCATTTCTTTCCTCAATACATGCTATTGTTAAAAGCTGAATCAAAACAATCTACACATAAAAACTCCTCACCTCGTCCTTGTCCAGCTTGGACAAGACGTCCTTGACCTTCTCCTCGTCCTCCTTGATCATGTCCAAGGTCGGCCCCAGGACCCACTCCTTGACCTCCGCGTGGCTCAGCTTCCCGTCCGCGTCCTTGTCAAATTCCTGGAACTCGGGGTCTTCCTGGAAGTCACCGCCATGCGCCGTACCCTCATCCTCTCCTGCGGCAGAAATGGGGTTGTTTGTTTGTTTGTTATGTTTTAATACCGAAGGAAAACACATTCCCGAAGGAAAACATATTGTTTTTGCTCTGTTTCCTCTTCTTCCGTTCCAAACACTGACCAGGTCAATGACCTAAACCAGACTGCCTCTCACCATGGTGATTGGTGTTTGGTTACATAATGTTGCAATTTTATAGTACGCATTTGTTTGCAAATGTTACTTTTCTAGTTGGTCTTTTTTTGTTTATTTGTTTGGGTCATTTCTGGCATTTGTGTGCTCATTAAATGTTAAAATCGGTCATTGAGGTCATGAGGGAAGGGGTCAGTGTCAGACACAATATAGCAAGATACAGGTCTCATGGTTGAAGTCCATAAACATGTAGTCTGAGTAAATCTATGCAACATGCACAGATAGGTGTTTAGAAGCCATAAAATGACTAATATCACTTCTGCACCCCCCCCCCCCCCCACACACACTGTTGCTTGTTGAATTTAAATGCTATTGGCGCTGTCGGTGACCATACTGTTTGGGATTGATATGACTAGTGTCCATGGTGACCGATGAGCTTTTTGAACTGTTTGAGTAGTGGCCAAAAATCACAGGTCCCTATGTATTTTTACAGTTTGTCTAGCCGAGTCAGTTTTGTAACGTAATGGATTTCAGATATATGTAGTAAGATACAGCAGAAGAATGTTCTCACCCCTGTACTCATTGTAGCTGACGGCTCCGTCGCCATTCCTGTCCAGGTCTTCAATAGTTTCCTGAAAAAGAGAAGGACACGATATTTTAAAAGCCTGTCGTGTGTATAGACGTCTGGCAGTTGTAAAGCGCTACGGTGTATGATCATGTAAGAACGTGTACAAGTGTGATCAGCTAGACAGGTAGTGCATGTGTGTGTTAGGGTTAGAACAGGGTTATTTTGGAACAACTCTCCTTTAGCTTCCCACCCGTGGTTGTCAGCTGTTCTTCTAGGGGAGAGTGGAGTACATAAAAACATTACAATACATCACTTACAATTACATTAAGTTACATTACATACAGTTTTTAAAAGAGAAATGTGTAAGATTGTATGTGATTTGCTTATTCATGTCCCTCATGTGCTTTAGTAGGCCTTGTTTGAACTTCTCATGTGATGACACTGTTTGTAGCCCATGTGGTAGAGAGTTCCATGCTGCAGCAGTTCTGTGAAGGCTTTTTTAGTGCTGTTTGTTTTTTGCTTGCCTAGTCTGAAGGGTGGTGTTAAGGCGTATGGATACACACCAGTGTGATGAGGTCGTGCATGTGCGGGTATTCCTCCGCCCACAGAAAGGCGAGGAACTCTTCCTTGTCCAGGGCGCCATCTTGGTTCTGGTCGGAGGCGTTGAAGCGGGTGTGGTCCTGCTGAACCGTCCGGCCGAACGGGCCCTCGTCTTCGGGAAACTCTGGAGGAATGAAGGAGGGAGTGAATAAATGGATAAATAATGAGTGAATGAATGGATGGATAAATGAGTGAATGAATGGATCGGTGAGTGAATGGATGGAGAAATATATGAATGAATATGGTGGCAACAACTATCAAACAGCAAAACTACAAGTGCAATCTATTCTACATTTCTAACTGCTGGGTATTATAGACTGCATTATCATCAGGTCTGGCTTCTGGAATGAAGTACAAAGCAACTGACAAACAAGAGGTTGGAATTGGGAAGTATGTAGGTTAAAGCTTGGAATTAAGGTTGACTCACCGTCGGTGTAGAATTTCTCCTTCAGCTGCTGAAACGTCAGTTTTTCACCAGGAGGAACTTCCATGGAATCCCACTGGAGTAAAGCCAAAGAGAAAAGCAAAAATCTCCTGTTTATTCATTTTTTAAAGTTTATTTTGTTACATAGATATATTACCTATTAGGAAGGAAAAGTCGTTAACAGTACAAGATTGGATGGTTACTACAAATTTACATTTGAAACGTAAATGAAAACTGTTAATCTTCACATGGTCTATCCCAACAAATTATTGCTCAGTTCATTCTTCCTCAAACACATTCATATATTCATGGTGAGCAGCCCCCTACCTCTGTCCTGCTACAAAATGTAACCCAACACTGCTACAGTAATAGTTACCATGGTGACAGACGTCTGGTCCTGGTCAATGAACTTATTTGTTCGGAGAAGAAGAAACTGAGCAAAAACTATATGTTTCCTTCTGCAAACATAATGCCCAAAATGTGCGATGCCCTGCCTAATTTGTAATATTGACCTTTGACACTAAGAAGCTATCATATTTCTGACCTGCTCGTCCGCGTCTTCCCAGAGGTCCCTGTTCCGTTCCCGAAATGCAAAGTTCTTCAACTCCTCCTGCGTCACCAGTCCGTCATGGTCAGGGTCAAGATGGTCCAGCCGCTCCCACAGCTACACAAACAGAAAAACAAACAAACAATGCAATAAATCAACAAACAACCAGGGTGCGTCACCACTCCGTCATGGTCAGGGTCAAGGTGCTCCAGCCTCTCCCAGAGCTAAACAAACAAACAAACAAAGAAACAAATAAATAAACATACACTTAGGGAGCGTCACCACCACGTCATGGTCTGGGTCAAGGTGGTCCAGCCGCTCCCGTAGCTGCATTTGTCAGTCAACAAACATACAAACAAACAAACCAAAACGTTGGAGCATCCAGGGACTTTTGCCACCCTGAAATCACATTGGTTGCCTGTAAGGCATCATTACTGCTTGACGTCCATAAACAACGTTGCGTACGTGACTAAACACACGCATACAGCACATTATCTATAACTGTGAAGAATCAAGTGGCAGACATAACAGTAGGAGAAAATAACTTGCTACAGCTTATAATATTACACCGGTAATCATGACTGAACTAGTATTTCTGGGAGACTGTACAACAATAATACTTAGGTTAGGGACCAGAAATGAGGTGGTGTACTAGCCTCCAGTTCGGCTCATTGTCAGCAAAAAAGGGAGACAAATTTCCCCCTCCGAAGCAAATGGACTACGGTAGCTGATCTCTCATGGCAAATTATCATTCATCATGAAAAATTATCATGGCAAATTCTCCCTACTGGGCTAAATCTTACTGATGTGTCAGCGGTAACGTTGTTATTCTAGTGGAGACTGTGCGTGTATATGGCTATATAATGTAGGACCCCATGGTAGAACCCTGTAGCCAGCGCTTTAATATCTCCAAACAGAACACCGATAATCCACAACCTAACATCTGCTTGGGGATGACGTGTGTTCCCCCGGGACTAGGGCTGCGGACCGGTACACTGTACCGGTCCAATACCGTAAAAATCGTTTCGGTACAGGTCCAAAATACCGGATCATGAAGTAACGAGTATGTACCGAAATACCTAGTTTACACCATGTATATGACTAAAGATAGGTAAATCCTACCACAAAGACGAAAAATTAGCACTGGAAAAGACGTAAACACCGTCGATTGATTTGAGATCCTCAGTCTCACGAGACATCGCGAGAGTGTGGCTGATCCAGGGTTGTGATTGGTCAACAAACTCAAATCAGGTCAGAGGTCAGTCATTTTCCCTTCCCTCCAACACTTTATTATTGTTTCTGTGTCATGATTGAAAAAGTGAAGAACACGTGTTAATTTGTCAAATTGTTCAGGTACAGGTACAGGTCCGGACCTGTACCTAAACCTCTGTACCAGTACCTGTACCTGTACCTGATGTTACGTTTAGGTACGCAGCCCTACCCGGGACTGTTATTGTCCTCAGGTCATTGACCCGTGACGTCACGTGTTGTGCCGTGCCAGTACCGGTTCTGTAGGCTACGTTTCCGCATGCCCCCCTCCCCATTCATACTCGCCTCATGTTCTTAATTAATATACATGTATTCCTCACCTTATGTTATAACTATACAACGTTTGTGTATATAGACAACCCACCCACTACTGTTCACCCCAAATTTGTTCTCTTACCTTAACAACGAATGCGCCCGGGACAATAACAATGGAACGGTCACTTCCGGGTCGTGTTTTCCATGTTTTACGTTCTAACACAGGAACACTACAAAAGCGCCTTTCTGGCTTAGACTCTCCAAATGGTCAACACCAGTGTTTGGCACAAATTCTGCATGTATCTTGCTGTCTACTGCCCCATGTTAGCATGCGGGGATCATGTCGTTAGTGTGCTGTACAGTCCCTTGTTTTTGTCTTTCATGGTAACGCCCCCCCCCCCTTGTTGTTTTACGTTCTAACGCAGTAAAGCAACATCAGCACCGTTCAGACTTAGACTCTCCAAATTCAGGACCACAACGTTTTTGTAGATGCTACCTTTATCCTACTTCCCCTGCCACATGTTGACACGCGGGGATCATGTTGTTACTATGCTGTGAGTTTATTCAGTCCCTTGTTTTTGCCCGTACATGGTAACGCCCCCCTCCCCCAGTTCGATGCCCCTGTCATGTACAGACTAATTGTCTGCACCATACGGAATATTCATGCGTTTTACCTCATTAGCATTCATTCTACTGTAAGCAATGGTTCTACGTGTACTAAACGCCTTGCCTTAGAAAATGTACGTTCGGTGACATTGCGTATTTTGATAAAGCCTTTTCAGTGGTCTTTATTACATATTTTACGTTATCTTTGGTAATAAAAGGAGATATTTAAGTCCAGCACCCTACAGCTAAACCTAGTCCTCCTTGCAGACCTTAAGGTGACGAAATGCATAATATTTCCTTTGGATAAAATGTCAAAGGTATCTAGATACCAACATGAGTATTGTTTACAAAGAAATCAATACGAACATGCACTGAAACACGAAATCACTGTTCTGTGTACCAACCTTTTTCTTAGCCTCCTCGTCGGCCAGCGTTGAGGCCATCACAGCCAGCACCACGGCTGCCAGGTACACCTGCTGTAGCTTCATGCCGCCTTCAACGCGGTCTGCAGAACTAGACTATACAACGTTGTGGTATGACTGGTACTGGAATTAGGATGGATCTGACAGTGGAGAAGCCACACAGGTTGGTACTCAAGTGAAACCAGAAGTGTACAGGTGAAAACAGACCTGCACAGGTATGACGTGCTCAGGTATGACTTACACAGGTGTGACCTGCCCAGGTAAGACGTGTCCAGGTAAGACGTGGCAACACCTGGTCGCACCACACGTGCTGCATGCCGGTCTGGCGCCGTGCATTTCCGGGTCTGGGCGCGATGCACCACGGGATAGTTAAGACCGTTTAGTTCTTATTTGTACTACACACCCGACTGGCCTGTCGGTTTTAAGAATCTTTTAATTGCGTTAAATGAGTTTGAATAGGGTACTTTTTAATCTACTATGTGTATCCAAACACGCACTTCAGCCTTTGGCTGCTATGTGTTTTGATGAATAAGCCTTTAATTCTTTTATTTATTCTGTGTGTGTTAAGCCCTGCACACGTTCAAGGTCAAATTACGGATATCCACAAAGGAAGGAGTATTAACCATTGTGAACACTGGATCAAGATAAAATTGTGTTACTAAGGTTTACTTTGGAAGTCTGAACACAGAACCGGTGTGCATTGAAGCGGTAAAGGTACTGATTTATGCTGATAAATGTCTATATAATGAAATCTCGTGGGCTCTCGCGAGAGAAACTGCACACCAAAAAAGGCTGAGAGCTGCACATTGCAAAGTGACATGCCCCAGACAATTAACCTTACATTGTTATTCATTAGGTGCATTAGGTATATGCAATAGTATCATACCGGCGTTGCAGTGAAATATCCATCTTGGTTAAATAAAATATATTACTCCTCTTTTTCTTATAGGCTGTGACTGGTCATAGTTCATTTAACTCACAGCATTTAACTTACAACATGTTTTAAAATAGTTCATAATATAGTTACAGTCAACACCCAAACCGAGAGTTTTTTGCAGCCCACACAGGGGCGTACCCGAGGGAGTCATGCACTCAAATACCGCACTATTAATACACGCACCGACACCTGCAGATTTTCTTTTTTTCCCTGTACCATCCCACAGTGGAACTCCTTACCGGGCCCGGTAGTAACGGCTCCCAATGTTGAGTCGTTCCGGGCCGGGCTGGCGGCCTGCCCGCCTTAGCCTTGACCTCCTCCCCCCCTAACGGCACCCCTCGCGGGGTTATTTGGGAGTATCAAAGACGAAGGCGAAGAACTCATTAAGCAGCCATGTGATTTATTTAACATGGTGGCCTATTCAGTAACGTCACAGCACTGAAAACAAAGTTGAGTTGCCTTTTTGCTGTTTGCAGAAACATTGTTTGGCTCTCCATGAATTATGGTTAAATGTTGGATGTACGGAAGGTTTGAGAATGGAGTTTAATACAAACAGAAAGGCCACAGACAAGGGAGGACACGAGAAAATTGGTTTGGATCGACTGGTTGAAATGTATACATTGAATAAAAATAAATGAATGAAAAATAAAGCTAAATCATATATATGCTGTACCGCTTGTACGTTTACATGGTATAAGAATGCGAATGTGTTTCTAAAACGGTGCTTTAGAAACATTGGAAAGAAGCTAATGTTTAAAGATATTGATATTATGTTAACATTTTTTTTAAATATATTATCAAGTTCGAAGTTCCTGTCAAAACTTTTGCCACCCTTACAGTGCAGCCTGGCTTTAGAGTTGAGGGGCATGACATAGAAATTATGAAAAAGTGAGAGTGTCTTCAGGGGCCAATTATATGATGAACAAAAGACACTGTCGCCTGCCGTCTCTTAAGATGACCTATGCACTTAATGGCCCTGGCTTCAAGGAGGATGGCATAAAGGCTTGCGGGGATCTTAAGGGGCAATTATTAAGGAACAAAAGGCCCAGACGCTATAAGTTCTCAGCCTTCAATCTTAATTATGAAAAGTGCAGACAGGAACAAAGAAATGGGTAGACATGCAGGTCTGCAGGTGCGGGTAGCTACAGTTTTACCCTGAGGAAAGTTAATGATATGATATGAATCTTTATCGCATGTTCTTGCCCAGATGGGCTAAATGCACAAGAGGGTATCCAGTATGCCAAACATGAGTATTGCATAATGGAACGCTATATACTAATGAAAAGTGCTAGGAATCTATAATTACAACAATACTATATACTACCTATCATCTACTGTTAGTTGCTCTTTCTTCTCTCTTTTTAAAACATCTGGAAACATAATTACATAGGTTGTCTACTGTCGTACATTCGTTTTTGCATGACATGACGTGTTTAAACGTGTCCTGCTTTGACATTTTCTTACATACATACAAAAATGTAAAAATATGTAACTTCGCAAAAAACAAAAGGAGACCGACTCAGATGGCCTAATTGTTAAATAACTGTGAAGAAACTTCTGCCCTGAAGGTTTGGAAACACAAAGAGAAAGACGTAATTGTCAAATCACTGAGAAAATATCTCTGACCTGAAGCGTCGGGGAGGTCAGAAAAAGGTCAGCGTAAAAGAAGAAAAAGTGCTTATTGTTGAGCTTTTTTTTTGCCTCTACCAGGCTTCGGGAGGCGGCTGGAAAGAGTAGAATTCGGCCAAATAGAGAGATAACATGCCGAGGGAGGTGCTGCAAAAAAGTATTCTCTCTAGCAGACCAACTCCTCTGGCATGTTTCTCTCTATTTGACCGATTTCTACTCTTTCCAGCCGCCTCCCGAAGCCTGATCGGCGGCATGTCAGGACTCGAACTCGGGACCTGTCGAGCACGCTGCCGCTACGCCACGCGACCCCACTGATGCGAGTTTATGTCAATGTTTAGGGCACGCCGATGCAAGTTAGACATCCAGGTAATGAAATGTTTGGGGCGTTACAGCAAAACTTGTAAACTCTGAAACAGATGTGTGTGTTGGAGTCCTGGAGGCAGGTCTGATCCCCGGGGCCAAACTGTAACTTACGCCAGTTGTCGGCACACAGTCTGAACTTTCACTCTCAAAACAGAACAACAGAACACGACTGTAGACAGGCGTAAACATATCAGAAACATTTCGGATATGCAGGTTTTGAGTAATCTCTAAGCAGGTCCATTTCGGTGGCAAGACAATATCCAATAGCCAGAGAAGGTCGCTGGTCATCGACGGGGGTAGCAAAAAAAACGGCAAAAAAAACCCCGGCCATATGTATGAAAAGCTAACGATCATTCCTCCACAACCTCTGCGTGGAGAGAAGGTTTTGAGTTTGTTTTTGCAAAAGATATTAGCCAAAACTGTGTCCAAGGAGATACCTCGGCCGTTTGTCGCAATGCACGAGTGACGAGTTTAATCGACGGAAAAGGGGGGGGGGGCGTTGTCGCAGCTGATGACAGTAAAAACGCCGAAACCTGCGCGAATGAACAAATATGAATGAAAACGACCACTGCAACTTTACGAAAAAGTAAATTACTCGTACACATCCCGGGTAGAGGGGAAAACACGGTGAGCATTATATTTTAAAGAAAACAGGAAAAAGTTATCGAAAGTTATAGCCCCGTTCACCCACCACCCAGCACCACTGGCTGTAGGCAATGTACAATTAGCCCGACCTAACAAGATCTGCAGACAGGATTTCCACTGGAGGGTACGTTCGCAGAGCCACGAGGATGGGAAAGAACGAATTCCACGCAACAAAGGGGGCGTTGGCGCGCATGCGTGCTGACACCCGGACGATAACATATTTAACGACAGTAAAAATTTTGGGCATGATTCTTAACAAATCATTTGATATAATGTTAACAGGGCTGATAAGGGTACAAATGTGTTTTCATGTAGTAGCTAGCGAACTGCACACCCACAGCGATTGAAGCTAGCCTCCGTAGCAGGTTTATAGAACTGGGGGTTCGGTGATCTGATTAGCCCAGTTCTAAAAACGGGGGTAATTCAACCAGGCCGGCTATGCTGTCTATATGCAATTAGAAAATAGCACATAAAAGATCCCAAAGACCCTAAAGACCCCCCAAACCCCCAGTTTTTGGCATGATGTGGAGGCTAGATTAAAGCAAAAGTGCAGAAACCTGGGTACATCTATATGAGATTAAATATTGGACACTCGTAAAACAGGTTTTGTCACTAGAAGGTGACGTTAGTTTTAAATTAACCAATCCCAGGGCTCGGCTGTGCAAAAGTAGAACAACGAATTAAAGAGATATTCGGTCATCTCATGTCTACCAGTAATGACCACACAATAGAAAAACTATGTGAATTCATCTCCAGCTGCTTTAGAAAGAGAATCATCAAGACCTTTGTTTTGTATTTTATCCTTCTATCCTATGTACTATGTTACTCAGTATGATGTATATATGTAACATCATGGTCCGATGTATGCATTTAGCCCCGTAGGCACGAACATGCAAATAAAGATTCGTTATATATATAATAACCAGCCCTCAGGCTCGGTTTGGCCTACAAAGTAAGCTTCCGGGCTTTTTTGCGTCCAGTCTGGCACCGCAGTTTGCAGGTACCGACGTGTTTCCGGCCTGGTGAGTACAGATCTCCTTTTGACTCTCTTTCCATAGCCTCCGATCCATAGCACGCCAAAAACTGGTGGTTCTGGGGGTCTTCAGGGTCTTTGGGAGCTTTTATTTGCTATTTTCTGATTGCGTATTGACAACATAGCCAGCCTGGTTGAATTACCCCCGTTTTTAGAACTGGGCTAATCAGAAAACAGCCGAAGACCACCAAACCTCCAGTTCTATAAGCCTGCTACGGAGGCTAACAGCAACGTTAGTCTCCGTAGCAGGCTGCAAACTGCAGTGCCAGACTGGGCGCAAAAAAGCTCGGACCCTTTTAGCACACAAATTCAGTTTGGTCGCCGCCCGCTCGCCAGCAAGAACTGGAAAGAGCGCCGGCTGCCAGTTAACATGTCCTGTGTATTGCACGGTTACGCAAACACGTAGATTTCTGTTTCTGAACATCCTGCAATATTCTTAAAGGTTTTCATTTTTATTCATTGGTTTCTAAAAAAGAAAGGACAGCATACACCCTACCTGTGAAAGGCCTTGGGGCTGTGCGATGCGCTGGTTTTGCTGGGCGCTGGGGCCGGGGCGGGCCGCGTCCTTCAATATGATTGCACTTTTCAGCATTATTCTTTTGAGTGTGGGAAAATAAAGTGAAGCTATAGCACTAGTCCTTTTCAGAGTTATTATTTTGAGTGAAGGAAAATGAAGTGAAGCTATGATATGATACTTTTGGTCGGCATATTCGGCAGTTTTTTTTTTTGACAGAAAATGGGGCGTCGTCACAGTGGAGATGAAACGTTAAGTAGAACGTTATGACTTTATGAATTATGAATATATTGCCATATTGAATCATGAATATATTGCCAATTGCCATAAACGCACCGACTGGTCAGATATTTTGTTGAGTTGTTCACTTTTAGAAACAAAAAGAAGGTATGATCCGGTAGTTTTGGTCAGCGTACTTAACAGCTTTTGATTGACAGAAAAAGGGGCGTTGTCACAATGGAGGTCAAACGTTACAGAAGAAAATTTTAGCTTTATGGACATGTGCACGCCAAACATGCCTTTGCCATTAAGAAAGACCGCATTGTAATTCTTTGGTTTTAAGATACACCAAAACACTTCGACATCTATGGCCACGATTCTGGAAAGTTTGAAGGTACAATCCCATTCTTTGGTCGGCGCACATGACAGGTTTTGACTGACAGAAAAAGGGGCGGTGTCACAGTGGAGATCGAACATTATGACTTTTCGAGGGGACTTTTTTCATATCCAAGTACTGACTGGTGAGCTTGTCTTGGGAAGAAAACGATGAATTTGTCAGTTTTGGTAATGAAGGGAAGCGATTGATTTTTTTTAGTTTTAAAAACGTTGGATTTTTCAGTTTTAGAACTAAAGTGAAGCTTGAGATCTCACCAGTGTCACCGACGAAAGGTAGTGGAAGCTAGCTGAAACGTCTGACCGTTTCCAAACCCATATCCAGTTGCTTGAGTAACTCATTTTTGGCTTAAAGTGAATCTATACTCCGGTTTTGGTCGGAACATTCAACAGCTTTTGATTGACAGAAAAGGGGGCGTTGTTGTAATGGGGGTCAAACGTTAACATTATGACTTTTCGAGGAGACTTTTGTCATAGAAGTACTAACTGGTCTTGGGAAGGAAAAGTTGGATTTTTTTTAGTTTTGGTAATTAAGTGAAGCATTGTATTTTTCAGTTTTTTTCAGTTTTGGATATAAAATAAAGTTGAGATTTCAGAAGTGCCACCGATGAAATGGTGTCTGACCGCATATCCTCAAAACCATATATTAAGTAGCTTGAGCAGGTTTTACGGTACTTTTTGATTTTGTTGACACGGGCACACCGTAAAGTTGGTTTACATTTTGGCGGTTGGTAAATACTGGATCTAAATGACTCCAGTCGTAATTAAGTTAGATTGACAGCCTGGTGGATATGCAGTAGGGCTGTTGTACCGGTTATACAGGTACAGGAACTGGGTTGAAACGCGCCAAGGGGCTGCTATACCTGCTACACAATATAGGTACAGAAATTTAGCTTCTATCAGGCTTCGGAAGGGGGCTGGAAAGAGTTGAAATCGGCCAAGCGGCAAACTGTTCTCTCTAGCATACCAACTCCCCTGGCATATTATCTCTCTATTTGGCCAATTTCTACTCTTCCAGCCGCCTCCCAAAGCCTGGTAGAGGCTAACAAAAACTGGCCTTCAAGCAGATGTGAAGATGCAGCTCAGTCTCGTGTTGTTGTTTTTTTATATATATTAGTACTCTCGGCAGTATGCAAACCGGTATGATTGCAATATCAGAAATGGGTACTAAAATTTTATTCATCTATTAATTTATTACATGGAAAAGTGTGAATGATAGCAAATGACATTCAGTTCCATAACTAAACTACGTGTTGGGAGGTTCGATGGTGGAGTCATGACTACGTGCGGGTAAAGAAAACTCAGGAAAAGATTTTAAAAATCTCACTTTTTTTTTTTATTTTTCCCCACTGCAGTACGACATAGTCCTACCTGAGGGCGTCCCAGACATGCGCACCATGGGGGTGGTTCTGCTGCTCCCCCTGGCGGCTGCCATCTGCACTGCAGCCAGTGTTGAAGCCCGATCCCGCCGCAGTGTGGACCCGATGGGGATGGGAGGTACTGTAACACGTTTCTGTGGTCACCATTCTGGCGTGCATTGCAATGGACGGATCTCGAAACGTTTCCTTCCAGTAAAAATAACCTGCCATTGTGTTCCAAAACACGAAACAGTGTTTAATAATCAGATGAGTAACTGTTACAATAAACAAGAAAAAATAATGAAAATGAAGTAATATAGTAATACAAAACTACCGGTAGCACACTTAATAGCAATGTCTGTGTAATCATAGGTTTGCATATTTTACATGAGCCTCTGTCGCAGATATGTGGAGCCGCGAAACCGTCTCCCTCCGGCAAAATCCCTCGGCGACATAACTGGCGTCGGTCCCCGACCAAAAAAAAAATTAACGCCGCCGCCCAACAAGTCTGCGAAGAAGGCTAATTTGACATGCTTGTTTCCCCCGTGTGTTACAGCTGAAGCCTGCCTGGTGTACAAGGGAGAGTCTTACCGCGGGAACCTCGCCACAACAGTGACGGGGAAAACCTGCCAGCGCTGGGCCAGTCAGGACCCGCACTCCCACAAGTTCCGCCCGGACAAGTACAAGAAGTACGGCCTGGACAAGAACTACTGTCGGAACCCGTCCGGCCACACCGCACCCTGGTGTTACACCACGGACCTCGGCAAGAGATGGGATAGCTGCAACGTGCCGGGATGTAGTAAGTCTTACTTCTGTGTGAGTGTGTGTGTGTGTGTGTGTGTGTGTGTGTCTCTGCTTGTGTGTGTGTAGCAGAATCGGAGTATCTCACTGCCGCAGCTTCATGTATCTCTTTCCCCGGCCTTGTCTCCCCCCAGACTGCGCGGTTTACAAAGGGACTCTCTACCGCGGGACCATCGCCGTGACTAAGTCCGGGAAGTCGTGCCAGCCGTGGGCCAGTCAGGTATTCCAAAAGCCCTCTGCCTCACCTCGTGCGGCTTTTAACCCTTGTCCTGCTGACATTTTTTACACAATATTTTTTCAATAATTTCATGTCTTAATCAGGTCACAGTCCCTTGACTTTTTTTTTGCCCTGTGGTGGCGTCGTTACTTGCGCATTCGTTGCGTTTCGCTGCGGTGTGATGCGTTGCACAAGAAATACCCCCAAGTTGTACCTATTCAGGGTGACATATGGATGGTACTGTATGTGCAAAACTACAATTGTTGGGCTCCACAGGACAAGGGTTAAACAGCACTCTGAAATGCAACCCTACTACACATACATGCCGTTATACGTCTTTTTTTAAATTAGTACTTCTAATGAAACTGATATTTTAAACTTTAGTATATAATGACCTGAATTGTCACAAGTTGTTTTTACAATGTACGGGACATGTAATTCATCCTTCTGGCTGTGAGATGTTTCTAATAAATCCCATATCATTATAGACGCCGCACTCGCACAAGTTCAAGCCGGTGAGCTACCAAAACTACGGGCTGGACCAGAACTACTGCCGGAACCCTTCCCGGGCCAGCGGGCCGTGGTGCTATACCACGGATCCGGGGGAGCGGTGGGAGTACTGCGACGTGCCGGGATGTGGTAAGGGTTTTTTTTCAACTTATATTAATGTTGTCAACACAAAAAGCATCTTTGAAGTGTGACGTCAACACTGGGTCAAAGGTAGACGATGATATGTCGTCCCCCGTCGCGGTTCAGTGAAGGGTGATGGTCCCTGATGTATACAGCATACTCCACCCCTCTCAGGAAATAGTTTTAACCAATCTTCTTGTACCCTGCCCACAGAGTGTTTGGAAGGGCCTGGAAACACCTACCGAAGTGTGTCTCTCCTCAAACACGGGACATCCATTTTAACGTCCCATCCGATAAGACGCCCCTAACCGAAGCTAGGTACTCATTTTCACCTGAGTGAAGTGAGGAAAGTCGTGTTAAGTTTTAACCAATCTTCTTGTAACCTGTCCACAGAGTGTTTGGAAGGGTCGGGAAGCACGTACCGCGGGAAGGTGTCTGTGACGGCGTCGGGCCGGACCTGTCAGCGCTGGGACAGTAGGTCCCCGCACAAGCCGAGCTACAAGCCTCCTGACGGCACGGACCACAACTACTGCCGCAACCCGTCCGGCCACACCACCGCCTGGTGCTACACTACCGACCCGGCCAAGAGGTGGGAGAACTGCGCCATACCTGGATGTGGTAAGTGTCGTCTTTTTTGTGAACGGTTCTTGATTTATTGGTAAATCGGTTTTGTCTGCTCTTGGTCTCTCACAGGTCTCTCACAGGTCTCCCGTGCTGTTATGCAGAGCGTAGGGCGGTGCCCATCTCCATTTCCGTATCCATTTTCGTACCCCAATGGAGGACAAACGTTAAAGTAGAACGTTTCAGCTTGATGAACACACAAAAGAGAATACCACATGGCAACATTTTAATTTTAGCTTATTACCAGAATGTCTAACCTTCGCTGACTTTTCTTGTACAATTGAAAATGTGGGAACAGATCATGCTTGTAATACAGGGTTTGTCTAGACGCATCAAATTTATGTTGGTTCTCCCTGCAGAGTGCCTGGATGTTGGTAGTTACATGTAGTTAGGCAGTTAGGTACTAAGTAGGTAGGTAGGTAGGAAGTTAGGTAGGTAGGTAGGTAGGTACTAGGTAGTAAGGTAGGTAGGTAGTTTGGCAGTTAGGTACTAAGAAGGTAGGTAGGTAGTTAGATAGGTAGTTAGGTACTAAGTAGGTATTTAGGTACTAGTAGGTAGGTAGTTAGATAGGTACATGTAGTTAGGTAGGTTAGGTACTACATGTACTAGGTAGTTTTGATGTTGGTAGTGACATATAGTTAGGTAGTGAGGTACTAGTTAGTTAGTTAGGTAGGTAGGTAGATTGGTAGATTGGTAGGTAGGTAGTAAGTAGTTAGGTAGTTATTTCCAACCGCAAATCGTTTTGATGTTGGTAGTGACATATAGTTAGGTAGTGAGGTACTAGTTAGGTAGTTAGGTAGTTAGGTAGGTATTTAGGTAGGTAAGTAGGTAGGTAGTAAGTAGGTAGCTACGACTTAGTTCTAACCACAGATGGTTTTGCCGTTGGTCCTCGATCCCCGCAGAGTGCCGGATGGGGAACGGGAAGTCGTACCGCGGGACCGTCTCCGTCACGGCGTCCGGCCGGACCTGTCAGCGTTGGGACAGTAGGTCCCCGCACAAGCCGTCCTACAAGCCTCCAGACGGCAAGGACCACAACTACTGCCGCAACCCGTCCGGCCACACCACCGCCTGGTGCTACACTACCGACCCGGCCAAGAGGTGGGAGGACTGCGACGTGCCGGGATGCGGTAAGGTTTACCTTTTTTTAAACATGTAATCACAAGACTTTGTGACGGCACCCTCAAATTTTTTCAACTTATATTAATGTCCGAAGTGGCTATATGTAGTTTTCTGAAAGATCAAATGAAATGGAGTGGCGTTATCTATAAGTTTCTGCTATGTCTGTGTTTCGAAAGTTGTTTTGTATTCTTAAAAAAAAAATTAACGGCTCTCAGTGGCCAATGTGCAGATGCTGTCACATCGGCGAACCAAATCTGTATTGTGTTTTTGGCACACAGTTAGACAGATTCTTTATTGACACAACAAAAAAGTACAGGGACTTTTGTATGGTCTTGTGCAACTAACCTAAGAGGCTCGGTGGGCGTCACTTCACTGTACAGGGAGGGAAGTCGTGTAAAGTGCCTTTTCCAAGGGCAAAACGTCGGGCCTCGGTGAGTATCGAACCCGTGACCTCTCGGTTCTGAGTCCAACGCTCTAACCGTTGCGCCATCCTTGTCTTCTTTAGGAGACGGGATTGGAGCTGCCGAACAGCAGAGCACACATTTCACGGTGGTGAACATCAGGAAGACGGCTGCCGAAGCCAAGGCCCACTGCGGAACGCTGGGAGGGCATCTTGCTGACGTGAAGAGCCGGAGGGTCCACGACTACCTGATGAAAGTCATCCAGGAGCACGGGAGCACTGCCGAGGACTACCGGGTCGGGCTGCACGATTCAACGGTAAGATACAATGATATACTATGACTTACTTGACTCACTTGACTTACTTGACTTAAGTCGGGTGCCAGTTCTCCTCTGCCACCCGAACCACCATGGCTGCCCAGTAGTCTCTGTCCTGCATCGCCTTTCCCATGTCTTGAGCCCGAAGGCCAACGTCCCTTCGCAGCACGTCTGGGTAAGTGAGGGGTGGTCTTCCCGGCCTCCTTCTCCCATCTGATGGGGTCCATAGGACAAGGTTATTTCCCTGCAGTTCCTCAGTGAGTGGCCGGCAAACCGTAGTCGCCTAGCTCGTATTTTTGCCGTCAATTTTGGGAGACCAGCATAGAGCTCTTTGTCAGATGTTGTTCCCATTTTTGGACACGCCTTAGCATCCTTGTTAGGGCTGCGTACCTAAACGTAACATCAGGTACAGGTACAGGTACTGGTACAGAGGTTTAGGTACAGGTCCGGACCTGTACCTGTACCTGAACAATTTGACAAATTAACACGTGTTCTTCACTTTTTCAATCATGACACAGAAACAATAATAAAGTGTTGGAGGGAAGGGAAAATGACTGACCTCTGACCTGATTTGAGTTTGTTGACCAATCACAACCCTGGATCAGCCACACTCTCGCGATGTCTCGTGAGACTGAGGATCTCAAATCAATCGACGGTGTTTACGTCTTTTCCAGTGCTAATTTTTCGTCTTTGTGGTAGCTATATAGGATTTACCTATCTTTAGTCATATACATGGTGTAAACTAGCTATTTCGGTATATACTCGTTACTTCATGATCCGGTATTTTGGACCTGTACCGAAACGATTTTTACGGTATTGGACCGGTACAGTGTACCGGTCCGCAGCCCTAATCCTTGTGTAGCAGCCATCCAGTTGATATACCATGCTACTATATTAAACATGATAACCCTTGTCCAGCTGGCATTTTGTACACAATATTTTCAAGTAATTTAAAGTCTTAATCAGGTCACAGACCTTTGCCTTTTTTGCCAAGCGGTCGCAAAGTCAGTTCCGCATTCGTTGCGTTTCGCTGTGGTGTGATGCGTTGCATGAGAAACACCCCCCAAATCGTACATATACAGGGTGCTATATAGATGGCACTGTATAGATAAATACTGTTAGTGTCCTGGCCCCGTATACATATAATGGCACGGTCCAAAAAGTGGGCGGTTATCTGAATAAGCGCCCACTTTTTATATGTAACTAGTTTATTGCAAATTGACAAAAAAAAAACTAAAACAACATTGCGGCCTAATGATACAATGTAAAAAAGGCTGAATTACGCAGTTTTAGGGAACACACAAGTGTACAAAATATCTTGAATATTTACAAACATAACCAAACTCAGTAACAACGAAACAAGAATATGCAAGTTACGATGCGTTATTTCAGGGAAGCGGCGGTTGGAAGTGGGCGGATGGAACTTCCCTGTCGAGCTGCAGCTACCAGAACTGGGCCCCGGGAGAGCCTAACAACATCGGGAGTGCGCAGTGCGTCCAGATATTGGCATCAAGTTCCCCAACCTACTCATGGAACACCGACCAGTGCGACAATAGCCAACGTTTCATCTGCCAGACAGGTCAGTCGCCTTGCTATATTTATTTTTACCGAAGGAAAACATGTTGTTTTCTTCCTCTTCTTCTTCTCCAAACATGTAGTGACCTATGACCTGAACAATGACATGATTTGTTGGCGTCTGTCACCATCATGTTGCAATTTCATGGTCTGCTCTGCTCCTGTTAACATATACTAGTAGTACATGTATGTGAATAATGTTTGGGTAAGAATTAAAAGAGCAGACCATGTCCAAAGGTAAACATTATAAATTTGCTTGGTAAATGTTACTTCTCTAGTTATTTTTTTATATTTTATTTTCCGTCATTTTTATACAGGGTGGCCAAGTAAGTGATTGCACTTATTTTCAATGGGGCCCTGTTTTACACAACAAAACACATACAAACAGTAAAATTGGGATACAATAAATAACGGCAATGATAATAAAGAAAAAAACAGTAACTAACCAATAACTCTATCTGCATAATATGGCAACATAAATCATTTAGGATTACAAAAGTTTACGTACCCTCAAAAGAAATGCTGTAGCCACGAAATACAGAATTAAAAAATGTTTGCGTTACCAGTCAGCGGTGTATTTGTACTTGTTTTTGTATTGTCCCTGTTTTTATATGGGCCTGAAGCAAAGAATAAATAGAATAGAGGACACTGATAGTTACTCTTAAGTTGTTGGCGTTGACCAGAATGTACCCTTCCTCCTGCAGGCCAGGGAGACCACGAGGCGTGTGGCCGACTGTCAGGTGAGATGAGAGTTCAGCCTGTATCATTCTGTGGGTCAGCTTAATGATAGGTTCTTCCAGGCTTCTTGGTTCTTCAGCTACCGAGCTTATGCTGTGTGTTATAGGTTTTATACAGGACTCAAGGAAGACCAGTGATGTACATTGGGCATACTCACTAATGGAGATCTTTCCTATAAACAAACTAAAGCTACTGAGCTTATGCTGTGTTTGTTATGTCATGTGTTATAGGTTTTATACAAGACTCCAGGAAGGCTGGTGTGGCAGGCATACATTGCACATACTAATGGGGATCTTTCATAGAACAGACTAAATGCATATTATGTTTTCTATATGCAACCTTCAAAATATACATTTAAATGTATTAATGGTTAGTTTGATGGAGGTAGAAAAGCATCAAATATACTCATGACAAACGTACTATGGCAATAATCAAAATGGCAATTAATCATGTTACAATTGGCATATTAAGAATATTCACAAAAATCAGGTCATTGACAGTCCATACTGGTTTATAAAGTGAGCCAGGTAGGCTTTGGTCTGCTTGTTAACAGAACATCCCTCCTTAATAGAACATCAACCCTTTTTTTAACTTTACCATGTAGGACGAGAAATAGAAGAGGATGCCGACATCTCGCGAGAGCTAGAGATGAGCGTGAGTTGGGAGGAGGAAGGGGAGGAGGAGTTGGAGGAAGAAATCCGGGAGGCTGAGGAGGAGGCTGGACCGGAAGTGGCGGAGGCTGGACCGGAAGCGGAAGCGGAAGACGCCATCTTGGACGACATCGATGCGGTCCTGGAGGACCTGAGGGATGTTGTTGAGGAGAAAATTATGATGATGGAAAAATGAGTCAATGACTCGCGGCAGAAAGTTCCGCTGAAACTAACAACCTATACGTACAGGTCATGTCTTTTGTGAGATTTCTAGTACAGTTAACCTTAAGATAATGGCATTATTCCTGGTGAAAATAACAATAAGTAAAGCTAGAAAATACATGCAATAAGTAACTGTAATGATAGAACATGTGTTGTTCATTTGCACTATCTTGATTATGTTATTGTGGCGTTATTTCTGGATGAACTAACAAAAGTTAGCATAGTTTTTTACTCTTTTACTGCGTAACTGTAATGCAAGAACATGTGTTGTTCTTTTGATGTATTTGGTTTTACAGTCGTACTTAAGATTATAAAATTATCTTTAACAAAAGTCAGAATAGTTTTTTTTTGTCTGCCCAGCTGTATTGACAGAACATGCGTTGTTCTCCGATGTATTTCAATCATAGCTTAGATTGTGACAATATTCTTGGTGGAACTAACAAAAGCTAAGCGTAGATTTTGCTTCAGCGCAAGTGTAATGACAGAACATGTGTTGTTATTTTTCCTTTTGACTTATTACGTATAACTAAAATACTATTGTAAGGGTTGTTAGTTGTAGGTATGTGAGTAACGATTGATAAGATACCGCAATATTAAATGGAATTGAGAAGTTTAAAGGTGATTAAAAGGGTTGGAAATGCAAGACTTTGTGGCTAGTTGTCTTTTATCATTGTGAATGTCTCAACCAGTCGCAGTGTGTAGCTCTATTAATCAATGTCACAATGCACGTCAATATATACCAGATAAAAACAACTGTAGTAAAATGTCTTGCACATAAAACAGATTATACGATCGAAAACCTCTTCTTAAATTAATAACAAGAATGACACAATGTCCAGTAGTAAGACATTGGCAACGCCATGGCAGATCCTCAAGCTCCTTCCTTACACAGCTGAATATGGCCTCTTGAACTCCGGCAGCCATGCTTTGGATCTAGGCCACCCATTGTTTCTGTCACTGAAGGCCCTAGAAATGGTCACCATCAATCCGCTCGTGACATGTAGATAGAGTTGTCTACACATTCACACCTTCTGCACGAGATCTCAACACCCTCAAGGAGCGGCAAACAAAATGGATCATGCTGTTGAATCCAACACAAAGATTTTAAACTATGGGCTGAACAAACAAACGATCTCCGCGTGTAACCAAATACCCTTTTTAGCTTTATCAATGTGTCACAAGTATCTCGGCGTAAGAAAGTTAGCATGCAAAAAGGGCAGTTGCACTGGCCATACAGATACAAGTACAGGTACAGATATTACAGACCTACATGTACATGTATGTACTGAGATGGACAAAATGCGGATCAATCATTTATTGGAGACTATTTAACCAAAGGGACTTTTTTCACCTGACATAAATCTGACGCTAGCATTTGGAAATGGCGTGACTTTTGGCGGGTCAATTTCCCAGGATGTGCATATGTTTTGTCAATAACACTTTTAGTCGTCTACAACGCTTGCTTGGTTGTAACGTTACTAGAATAGACAAAAACAGGGCAAAGAGCGGGAGTATAGTTGTGAATTCTGCCCTTCCTTGCATCTTCTCGCCCACATATAAAGTGTGTAAGATGAACTCACAAAAATCCTCACGTGGGCACTAAAGTAAAGACCAGAGAGTCCAAAGAGTCTTACTGCGAAGACTCGTTGTACAGGCATATTACCTCGTGTAAGAACGAGTTTTTCAGTCTTTTCGTAACGTTACTCTATATAGACGAGAACAGGGCATATAGTGGGGACATAGTTGCGAATTAGACCCTTCCTTGCATCTTCTGGCCCATATAAAGCGTTTAAGATGAACTCTGAACTGCCGTAAAGCCTCAGGGTACTAAACCTGCAGCACGGCTGCTGCTGACTCAGTGGTCAGTCTGTCAGGGCGGGTCCTCCGCGTCACATCGTCTGTCGCACCGGTGAGTACAGAATGAAACGGTTTAACAACTTTGTTTTCATATAGCGACTTTATCACTGGTCGTATAGACTTGTTTAGATCATAGAGATGCTGTCTGCTACTAAAATGAAGTGTTGTCCTGTAGTACTAAACCTCTATTGATGGCATAAGCTCTGAAATGTTTCCAGGTACCATTTAGAAGAATTGACAGCGCTCGCGGCTAGAGGTACAGTAGACAATGCTGTATCAAAAATGACGCTAGAAACAAAACAAAATCATTAAACCTCTGAGCTTGTATTTAGCAGGTTTTGGAATGTTATAAAATTCTCCATCAGTTTTCATCAGTGCCTAAAACCTGTGAAAAACACTTTGGTGAATAGAATACAAAGCACATGGTTGTTAAGATGAGAGTTGTCTACACTGAAGGGTCCTCAGGCCGTCCATTGTTTCTTCCACTGAAGCCCTCACAAATGGGCACCATCAATCCGCTCGTGACATGTAGATAGTGTTGTCTACACAGAACCTTTCACACCTTCTGTAGGAGATTTGAACACACTAGTGAAGTGGCAAAGAAAACGGCACATGTTGTTAAATCCTCCACAAAAATTTTATAATGAAGCCAACGTGTAACTTTTTTTGTAATTTTTTCTGACCTAGCTTTAGCCACCATCTAAACCCCATTCATTTTAAGACTTCAGATCATTCTATAGCTAATTAGGCCATAGGTTATATAGATGCCATCCAGCTGGCACACCCCCAACTGATGCGTTGGGAAGAAAAGTTTGGATAAAAATGCAACCAGTACAGTGGAATCAAAATCAGTAAATAAGGTTGAACAGCTCTTGCAGTTTGATGTCCAACCGTAAGGTGTAACAGACAGTTCGGTGTGACATCACCAGTTGCCGCTGCGCCACGTGCCTGTGAATTTGGTGTGTTTGAATGAATGAATGGATTGATGAATGAATGAGTGAGTGAGCGAGTGAGTGAAGGAATGAATACATTTCTTTATTCTCGATTGTGTTGTTTGTCCAACACGGCTGCTTTTCGACAAGGTCGAGAGGGGTGAGGCGGTCACGAATTATACAAAACAGCAAAATTAATACAAAATAAGTAGTTAAGTAGGTTGTCAACCATCAGTTCATCTTCATGCGTCTTATCAGGGTCCTAAAGCTCCCTGTCGACTGGGCCGCTCTAACATAAGACTGTTCCAGTTCGATGGGCAAGGATACCGGCAATAGATATAGGCACAGATAATTGTCTGTCCAATTAGACGGCCAGTTGATCCACCCGCCCAGAGCTGTCAAAAGAGCAATACCTGCATATCAACCAATAGCTCGTACTTATAAATCTGCCTTTCTGGCAACTCTCCAGTGTCACTGGTGAAAGGTACTAGATGCTACCTGAAACGCCTTACCGTTTCCCAAATCATATCCAGTTGCTTGAGTAACTGTTTTTGGTGTAACTCTTTACCTAGATGTCTAACCCTTACCGACGGACACAGATAATTGCCTGTCCGGTCAGAAGGCCAGTTGATCCGCCCTGTGCATCACCCGTTTCGTCTGTTAGACAACTTTTGTTGGATGGCAGAGAAGAGGCGTTGTCAGGGAGAAGCCAGAAGCAGAAAACATGTTTAATTGTCCGTATTCTACCGATACATTCACCGTTCAGCCCCCTAGAATATTTACTTTCTTTTTTTCATATTTGAGAGATATTGTATACTTAGATTTACATATCAATCGCGAGGGTTGAAGGTTGAGGAGGAGGAATGGCTTTGAAACTTTGAAACTTTGAAACTTTGAAACTTTGAAACTTTGAAACTTTGAAACTTTGAAACTTTGAAACTTTGAAACTTTGAAACTTTGAAACTTTGAAACTTTGAAACTTTGAAACTTTGATAATAGATAATAGACACCTGTTATGTCAATCTTTCACAAACTGTGTTAAGTCATAATAAATCAACAAAATAAAATCCTTCAGCATGTAAGTGGCGAGGAGACCTTAAATGAATAGCGATGTGTCAACGTACGAGTATAGCACATTTTGAGGTGTTTTCTTATGATCAGCTAAGGGCACATGCAGAAAGCAATGGCAGATAAATACAAGTCCTTTTTCGATAGATGTTTGGGATGAGGCATTTGGACAACTTTGTAATTTCCAATTGACAAAGTAACAATGTTGATATAATCTGTTGATAAAATAGTAAAAGTATTTGTTGCAGTCTTGTTCATGATAGATTATGTTTACAATGGTTATGCTTGTGTAGTCAAGCCATCATTCTGGCTAATCTGTTTCGACTAAGCCGTTCCTTTGGAACTTCTCTTATACACAATCCATCGACTTCCAACGAAAGACATAATTATATAGATGCTGAGTATCAGGCTTTTAGTTTAGTGGAAAACTACTTAAGTCTATCCCATGTCTATACCCTTGTCTATCCTATCCCTTTTGTTAGACAACTTTAGCTGAATGACAGAAAAAGGGGGCGTTGTACCAGGACAGAAGGCAATTAAACGCTCGGTGACCAAGTAGGACACTTACATAAAGGCACCTGTTCTTACTCTGTGTAGACTCCCATTTTCGCATTGGCTTTGGGAAACTGATTTTATTCTTAACGGTTTTGGAAAGTTCTAAAATGTTCCACCAGTTTTCACCAGTAGTGCCTAAAATCCGCGAAAAACACTCTGGTGGATAGAATACAAAGCAATGGTTGTTAACCGGAGAGTTGTCTACACAACAGGTCCTCAGGCCGTCCATTGTTTCCAGTCGGGATAAAGCGGCATTCGGTTTGAAATCGATCTGTTTATAACTCAGACTCTTATTTTTTTATGTTGTTTTCGGAAATTGAGTTAAATGGCGATTATGCGTCATATAAATGGGCAATATCTTCTTTGGGTTGTTCACAATGTCAATGTTGTAGAGAATTTAGACTAGAGTCAGTTCATTGACCTTTGACTGGTAGCTTATCAACCATGCAAAGCAGTGCATGTATAGCCATCGGGGCTCATGTTGTCACCTACTATTGTATGAGATATCCAGGGAGTCTGTTTTGTCAAGTCATAATTTCTGGCTGAGCAGTTTTGACTAAGCCGTTCAGTTGGTACTGCCCTAATATACAATCCATCTATCGACTTGCGAAGAAAGACATCTAGATGCTAGTCAGGCTTTTAGGTACCTGTGAGAACCTCCCAAAGTAGTCACTTGTCTATCACATTGTATATCCCTTTCGTCAGACAACTTTAGTTGAATGACAGAAAAGTGGGCGTTGTCACAGGACAGAAAATATCGCCTCAGCAGCTATAAGATCTTGTCTTCATTGCTGTTGACTTAAAATATAGAGGTTTCGGCTTTGGGTTAGAATGTTATTTGTTTCTTCTGATGAAGAAAATATCGAGTGAAACTTAAATATTTCTTGTCTCCTTCACAGCAGACTACAGTACTGTGACTTCAGCGGAGTCCAGGCATGCGCACCATGGGGTGGGCCCTCAGGGTCCTCCTGGCGGCTATCGTCTGCACTGCAGCAGAAGAGTCGTCTGTTGACATCGACAAAAATAACATCGATGAAGAGGTTTCTGAAGTTGTTTTTTTTTAATTTCATGAACCAGATATTTTCAATTTGTGATAATAAGGGGGGTACTTGATATCGTATATTAAAGTCGTGACAAATAACAAAAACTGTATGGCCAGGAAGCAGAAGAAAATATTTCTATTTGAATTCTTCGTATACATGTAACCTCATAATCATACACTTTTTTCACATATTTATAGACACTGGGATAAAGAAAAATAATATGGATTTCGTGACGTTGTTTGTACTAACGCAGCCCACACCTAACTTTTTATTCAAGTAGCAACAAGACAAAGTTACGCTGCACTAAAAAAAAGAACTTATTTTGTCAGCGCCACTTGACATATAAGAATATAAGACAAAAGCGTTAAAATTCCTCCTGGTTCTTGTTATAGTTGAGTGACGACTTGAGGAAAGAGTTACGAGCTTTTTCTGCTGGAGGTGTGGCAGGCGGAGGCTTCTCTGGAAGTGGAGCAGGTACAAAATGAAGTTCTTTATCGCAATTTCATGCCTGAGGGCCAATTGCAAACAGATGTTGACAAGAAAAATGTGGTGATATAAGACTATTTGCTAGCATGATGTTCTACGTGTGGAGTATACTTATCAAATCTACTATCTCTACATTTTTTGTAGGCTTAGAAGGTATATAAAACTAGAGAACATTTTGTTGACCATTTCGAACCAAGTAACAGTGCACTGTTAACCATGTAACATCTTTAGGGTTAAGTGCGCTACGCACCAAGCGTCAATTCACAGCAAACCAGTCAGAATTGCCCTGATGAAGATGACAGACCGTCATCGAAACGTCGGCCGGTAAAGAATAAATGGTTGTGATCAAAGAACTTTGCTATTCATATGTTCTACTTACTTCTAGATGAAGACGTCAAAATTTTCTGCCTTTAGGGCATTGATATAAATACATAATTAAACGAAAGCGTTCGATATTTCACAGCCGGTCCGAAGTACATCAGCCTGGGCTGTTGGAAAGACAGCAGCAACCGAGCCATCGCCACACTAGAGGGGACAGACGAACGGCTAGACGGGTCTTACACCGCCCGTGCTAACGCCATCGAGAAGTGCTACCAGGTTTGGTGATGTTTCTTTATTTTACAGTGTACATTTTACGCGGAAAAAGTGTAGGAATGAATGTAATTAGGGTCAGAGGCAAGGAACAGGGGAAGTTAAAAGAAATTTTAAAAAGGGCCCGCGTATATCAAACACTCTGTTATATTGTTTCATTTATAAATAGATTAATGATTAATCTGCCAATCTGTTTTCAACATGAAAAGCAACTCAGAAAATCGGAAGCAAGGTAACCCCGTATGATATTAGTAAACAAGTTAGAAACTGCTTTACGAACATAGTATTGAAAAAATAACCCCGGATAATGCCATACTCATGTCATGCTCATACAGGTGGCCAAGTCTCGCGGGTTCTCCGTCTTCGCGGTCCAAAATGGCGGCCAGTGTTTTGGCTCTGCTACTGCCCTGAGCACCTACCGGAAGCACGGGCCCTCAGCGGGATGTCAGAAAGATGGGGAAGGGGGAGGCTGGGCGAACGAAGTCTACCTCATAACAGGTAAGTGGCAACATCCACTGGTACATGGAAATTGGACACTACACAAACACTAATATCTCTGTAATTCAGTAGACGTGACACAAAACTTCTTACAATGAGATAGATACATCAAAGATGTACTAGTAGTTCCTAGCAGGCTATGGCACTTGGTTTTTTGGGAGCCATTATAGTGCAGCTTTACTTTCAAGTTGTGCCAGTTCTTTTGAAAGACAAGACAGAAGAAACAAACTTGACAAATACAGGAAGCACATAATGCTACTGTACTCTTCTTTATTGACATTTGACTGTATATTTCTATACTGAATGGATGAATGGTTATATGAATGAATGAACGAATGAATGAATGAATAAATGTATGGATAAATGAATGAACTTCACCACTCGACAGTCATACATAAGACAGTGTGTGTCAGTAAATCAACTTTATGACAAAACTAATCAATCAGGCTAAAATTATAACTACAAAATGTAATCATTAACAGTATGTGTATTACAGTATAGTCATGTCTAGTGTTTGGAATGAGGCATAAAGAAATTGACCTATGTACTAGGTGCCTGAAAATCTTTCTTGTATTTCTTGCAGATGCTCCAATAGCTTTGCCAGTGGGTAAGTCATTTTACATATTTGCCCTAACGCAAAATATACATTGAAATTCGAAGCGGCTTGTAGTTTGTTTTCTTCGATCCAAAAAAGCAGATACCAATAACGAAATAGCATGCTAATGAAAAAAGCAACTTGATCTCAAGCAACTTATTGTTAAACTGTTTCCACAGGATATGTTCACAAGCCGTACTTCAGTATCGGCTGTTGGAGGGACACAGGAAATCGCGCCATCCCTACTCTGGAGGGGACAGACGCACGGTTAGACGGCAGCTATACCGCACGCGCCGACGCCATCAACAAGTGCTACCAGGTGGCCAAGTCAAAAGGCTTCAGTGTGTTCGCGGTCCAAAATGGCGGCTGGTGTGCCGGATCTGCTGACGCCCTTAGTACTTACAAGAAGTACGGACCCTATACAACATGCCGAGACGACGGGGAAGGGGGAGCCTGGGGAAATGAGGTTTATCTCATTTCAGGTATAGTAACTTCTACCCGTAACTAAATCGTATCTTTTTTTGTTATACTGTATCAAATTGAACCTGGAAAGGAACAGACTGTTTTTATATGAATTAGTTCTTCTCAAGTTTCGATTATGGCAATCTAGAAAACATCTCTATTATATCAATATAACTGTTCATGAAGTCAGACTGTCAAAATACCTTTATTGTGTCTTTCAGATGTTTTCAGTCCAAGCAAAGGAGGTGAGTAGATAATTGTTGGTAAACCGTGTTAATACTACATTTAAGTACGTTACATACTGCTCGAAATGACACGACGTGATGTTCTCTGGGTCCCTGAACAGACATCAGGTGTACTCTCCAAGCAGAGGTTGATGGTGGAAGATCGTTTGCTTTTTATATATGGTCCATTTTTTTTGTCTCTACCACCACCAACGTTGGTGATGGTAGAGACAAAAAACAACGGACCATATATAAAAAGCAAACGATCTTCCACCATCAACCTCTGCTTGGAGAGTAATCAGGTGACCCTTTAAATGCTAAGACTTGTTCGTAACATACTCAGGATTATGATTAATATATTCGTTTTGTTTTACGTGCGTAAATTTTTGTGGGTCAGTCGTTACCAGCTCAGTACTAGTCTGCCTGTGATATGTCTTATTGTCATAGATACAAATATGAATGAAAAAAAAAAACATTCAAGGCTAACCATGTTAAGCTTAATATTTTTTCGAACCCTTAATTTCGACACGGGGACGAAACTTCCATAGTGGGAGGGTGACATCGATATTTAATCTAAGAGGGATTTTTTTAATCACATGTAATTACAAGACGTGGTGACGGCACACTCAAGTTTTCTCAACTCGTATTAATGCCGCCACCAACACAGGGCACAATACAATACTCTTTTCCACCTGAGCGAAGTGAGGAAAGTCGTCTTAAGTGCCTTTTCCAATGGCACAAGATCGGTGGCATGTCAGGATTCGAACCCAGGACCTCTTGGTTCCGAGTCGAGAACTCTGCCGCTGCGCCACACGACCGCACGCTAAAGAGAGGAATTTGATATTTCCTCACAGGTGGAGAGGTGGCCAAATCCGCTGGTCCAAAGTACTTCAGCCTGGGCTGTTGGAAAGACACCAGCGACCGAGCCATCACGATGTTAGAGAAGACAGACGAACGACTGGACGGGGCTTACGCCTCCCGTGCTAACGCCATCGAAAAGTGCTACCAGGTAAAATGATGTTTCCTAATGTTATCAGAGGCAAATAGATGTCACCTTATGACGTTTTTAGTACATACTGGGGCGCATAATACAATAGATATGACATGGAATCTTACAAAGTCAACGTACTTGTAGTAGAATGAAGTAATTTGATTATTTGATGATTTAACGTCCCATACGATAGATACCAAAGGAAAAAAAAATCTGTATTAGTATTGTATGTAAAACTAATACCTAACACTAGTACAACTGAACGCAAAGTGACTCCATACATTGATATTAGAGTAGTTAGTGCCTAATTCAAAAGTCGTGTATCATGATCATGAAATGATGTAACCCTGTCCATATAGGTGGCCAAGTCTCGTGGGTTTTTCATCTTCGCGGTCCAAAATGGCGGCGAGTGTTTTGGCTCTGCTACTGCCCTGGGCACCTACCGGAAGCACGGACCCTCGTCGGGATGTAAGTCCGATGGAGAAGGAGGAGCCTGGGCTAACGAAGTCTACTTCATAACAGGTAAGGGGCAACATACATTGGCACATAGAGACCCGACATTGCTTCAACAGTAGAGTGTTTTACTTAAATTAGTGGAATAAACAAAAATTCTTACAATGATAAGAACTGAAGAGATAGCAGACTTCACCCCACGAATGCTTTGTAATCTTACCGAAAATCGGAAGCAGCACCGAGTGTTTCCTAGGACTATTATGCATAAAAATGTTTTGAGACACACACATAAAGACACAGACAGAACTACGAATGAAAAAAAAAACTATACGTAATACCTTTTGGTTTCATAAGAAGTGCATGTGTCTACCATTTTGCAAAACGTCTAGGACTATTTGCATACAACGTTTTGACATTTTACAGGCTCAAAACACAACAAAAACAAATATACAACTAAGAGATCATAAAGTCCTGGATAACTTACTATAATAATTAAAATTTTCTATATTTTCAGGCGTCGCAGTAACTTTGCCTGAGGGTAAGTATTTTGAATCTTTTGTTTGATAGACGATTGTCATTAAAATTGTCTTCGTTTTCAATCTTAAAATACGTCTATATCTAACATGCAAAAAAATCAAGTCAGACTCAGGTGTTCATAAACAAAAACTAAGCAACATCAAGTGATGTGATGTTAAAATTTGTACATGTTTGTATAGGATATGTTCCCAAGCCGTACATCAGCCTCGGCTGTTGGAGGGACACAGGAAATCGCGCCATCCCTACTCTGGAGGGGAAAGACGCAAAGTTAGACGGCAGCTATACCGCACGTACCCTCGCCATTAGCAAGTGCTACCAGGTGGCCAAGTCGAAAGGCTTCCGTATCTTTGCGGTCCAAAATGGCGGCTGGTGTGCCGGGTCTGCTGACGCCTGGAGAAGCTACAATAAGTACGGACCCTATACAACCTGCCAGAAGGACGGGGAAGGGGGAGCCTGGGGAAATGAGGTCTATCTCATCTCAGGTAATCTCTTTTCTACCTGGAGCTGAATCGTACCTATTATTGTTATTACGATGATGAAGAAAGATTGTCCTTAATATTCATTGCTATGACACATTGTTGTGTTTTTTTTTTTCAGATGTGGTCGCTTCAAACAAAAACGGTAAGTAGGCCCATTTTCATGTATTGCCGAACATCACAGATACGTTACGTAATCCTCTGATATCAATGGTATAACATTTTTTCCTGTCGTTTTCAAATGAAGTCTTGGGGGGCGTACACGCGACGCCTGTCGGATTAGGATTTAATCTATTTGTAAAGGAAAAAGATTTTAAAAAATTCTCATACATCCCATTCTGTTATGGTAAACGACTACTACCTCTCTTTTTGATTTCCGTCAACCAGAAAAATGCCAGGTGGAAAACGGGGTAAGCTACCGGGGAACCGTTTCTGTGACCGCATCAGGCAAGACGTGTCAGAACTGGAACAGTCAGACGCCACACAAGCACACCAAGACACCTGATAGTTACCCAACATCTGGTCTTGAGAACAACAACTACTGCCGGAATCCCGACGGCAAAGACGGAGTTTGGTGCTACACCACGGATGCCGGCACGGAATGGGAGAAGTGTAACGTACCAGTATGTGGTAAGTTCTCCGTCAGAGTGTCCAGTGCCACTAACTCGACCTTTTTTTCTCCTCTCTAGTCTGTCTTCAATTCTTTATCTGCATTCTGAATAGATGGTATGTTAACAACTGCTGAGGCTACATGGCATGTACTATAGAAAGTGGTGCATTTAAGGTAATACTAAAAACTAATCTGTTTCTCGTCCCTACAGCCGGTCCGAAGTACATCAGCCTGGGCTGTTGGAAAGACAGCAGCAACCGAGCCATCGCCCAACTAGAGGGGACAGACGAACGGCTAGACGGGTCTTACAGCGCCCGTTCTGATGCCATCGAGAAGTGCTACCAGGTTCTCCGGTCTTTGTTCCATTCAGTCTAAGCAAACATGTCTCCTAATGACGTTTTTCAGAGTGTACTGGTTGACCTTGAGGCCCAGTTGACCAAGTCATGTCGGTCATATACAGGTGACCTGTGTTACTCAAGCTCTCGTCGTCAGGGTCTGATTTGGCCTTCTTGTGAGAGTTTTTGGACTCAAGTGGCTCTATGTTATTGACAATTCACATTCCAAGAACTACCAATGACAGGTCAGGATATCAATGAAAATCAGTTAAATTTTTAGCGTAGAAGTCCATGTTACTATTAAAACCAGTAAATACAGCTTGTCATTCAACACAACTAAAAATGCTGTATGTCTGACAATATTCGTTCAATTTTAGAAAAGCAATGAGTTGTGTATGAATTCTCATGTAATGTAGAAACCGTGTCTTTATTAGGTGGCCAAGTCTCGTGGGTTTTTCGTCTTCGCGGTCCAAAATGGCGGCGAGTGTTTTGGCTCTGCTACTGCCCTGAGCACCTACCGGAAGCACGGGCCCTCGTCGGGATGTAAGTCCGATGGAGAAGGAGGAGCCTGGGCGAACGAAGTCTACCTCATAACAGGTGAGGTGCAACATCCTTTAAAATTAGATAAATATCTTCAAAAAAAAACTTCTCCCCTTTTTTCACATAACTTTTTGTTTTGTAACCCTTTCCATCCTGTTGATAAATTATATATCTATAAAAGCGCTGAGGATTCATCTCTTAGCTGTTGTTTAGGAGTAATAAGAGACATACACGAGTAGTATTACTGACACGCCCGCGAATCAAAACACTAATTAGTTATAACTACCAGAAGCAGTTTTGGGTCCGCGCTACAAAACTAGAAGTAAACTAGTTTGATTACATATTTTTGACACAGAAAAAATTACATCAATAGTATAAATTAAGCCTATTACTATAAGGATACATCCAAGCTATGAATAAGCATTCTAATCTTTCTTGCATTTCTTCCAGGCGCCACCAAAACATTGCCTGTTGGTAAGTAATTTTACATTCTTTCTGTAATGCACAATTAGCTTTTTTTCGGTGGAGTCATCTTGTATTTAACACACAAAATACCAATGCCTGACTCACCTGAACCAAACACCTGACATTTAACATTAAATTGTGCAATTTTGATTGTATTTCCACAGGATATGTTCACAAGCCGTACTTCAGTATCGGCTGCTGGAGGGACACAGGAAATCGCGCCATCCCTACTCTGGAGGGGACAGACGATCGGTTAGACGGCAGCTATACCGCACGCGCCGACGCCATCGACAAGTGCTACCAGGTGGCCAAGTCAAAAGGCTTCCGTATCTTTGCGGTCCAAAATGGCGGCTGGTGTGCCGGGTCGGCTACCTTCGCCCACAGTACCCACAAGAAGTACGGACCCTATACAACCTGCCGAGACGACGGGGAAGGGGGAGCCTGGGGAAATGAGGTCTATCTCATCTCAGGTATGTGCCTGGAACTACACGTGTCAATTTCTGGTATGATAACTTATATCTGCAAGTATATCTCAAATTACGTACAGAAAGAAAAAAACATTTTAATTTATTAAACTTAGTTTATTTATTATTAAGATCATTTCTATTGTACTATGTGAATTGTGTACATTATTTCATTGGTTCTAAGATTGTTGTTTTTTTCAGATGTTTTCAACCCAAACCAGAAAAGTGAGTAGGCCAACTGTCAGCTTTTGTTACTATTAAATGTTTACCACATATTAAGAGAACGTGACATGCCTGTCTAGAATACCCCAATAAGAAACAAAGTTTCTATTTCTCTCCCTTAAAAAAATCAAATAAAAGTCTCGCACGTTTCAGAACAATGTATGTAATAATACCTTATTTTGATTGTCGAAAAACAGAAACCTAAACCAGGAAAAAAACTGTTACATGTTGCTATAGAAGTACTCGTGTCTAGGAAATAGATCCATTTTGATGTCGATACTTTGTCGACTGGAAGAACTAAAAAAAACTTTCCTCACAGGTGGAGAGGTTGCGAAAGTGCAAGGTCCGAGGTACTTCAGCCTGGGCTGTTGGAAAGACACCAGCGACCGAGCCATCGCCACGCTAGAGGAGACAGACGAACGGCTAGACGGGTCTTACGCCTCCCGTGCTAACGCCTTAGAGAAGTGCTACCAGGTTCATTGATGTTTCTTAATGTTATCAAAGGCATACATAGTATCCAAGCAGATCCCTTTCAGTGGCAAAAAGGTAGTATAAAATTGGCCAGGCAGTATCCATTAGCCAGAGAAGGTCACCAGCCACTGACGTAGGTGGGATTAGCGAAAAAAAAACGGCCATATATAAAACTCTAATTATTTCCCCCAAAACCTCTGCTTGGAGAGTAGCATACATATGTCACCTGATGACGTTTTAAGTCAACGTAATACTAGTAGAATGAAGCAATGGGTAATTTGACGTTCTGTACGATTGATACCAAAGAAAAATCTGTATTAGTATTATACGTAAAAGTACTACCTAACACTAGGACAATTGGAAGCAAATTGACTTCATACATTAATATTAGAGTAATTAGTGCCAAATTCAAAAGTCGTCTATCATGATCATGTAATGATGTAACTCTGTCCATATAGGTGGCCAAGTCTCGTGGGTTTTTCGTCTTCGCAGTCCAAAATGGCGGCCAGTGTTTTGGCTCTGCTACTGCCCTTGGCACCTACCGGAAGCACGGGCCCTCGTCGGGATGTAAGTCCGATGGAGAAGGAGGAGCCTGGGCGAACGAAGTCTACTTCATAACAGGTAAGGAGGAACTTCCATTGGCACATAGAGACCCGACATTGCTTCAACAGTAGAGTGTTTTACTTAAATTAGTGGAATAAACAAAAATTCTTACAATGATAAGAACTGAAGAGATAGCAGACTTCACCCCACGAATGCTTTTTAACCTTAACGAAAAGAAGCAGCACCGAGTGTTCCCAAGGAAAATTATGCAAAAAATGTTTTGAGAAGCGCAAAGACAGACAGAACGACAGATTTAAAAAAGCTATACGTAATACCTTTTGGTTTCATAAGAAGTGCATGCTTCTACCATTCTGCAAAACATCAAGGACTATTAGCATACAACCTTTTGACATTTTACAGGTTCGAAACACAACAAAATCAAATATACAACTAAGAGGTCCTGGATAACTTACTATAATAATTAAAATTTTCTATTTTTTCAGGCGTCGCAGTAACTTTGCCTGAGGGTAAGTATTTTTAATCTTTTGTTTGATAGACGATTGTCGTTAACATTTCCTTCGTTTTCAATCTTAAAATACGTCTATATCTAACATGCAAAATAATCAAGTCAGACTCAGGTGTTCATAAACAAAAACTAAGCAACATAAAGTGATGTGATTGTTGTTAAAATTTGTACATGTTTCCACAGGATATGTTCCCAAGCCGTACATCAGCCTCGGCTGTTGGAGGGACTCAGGAAATCGCGCCATCCCTACTCTGGAGGGGAAAGACGCAAAGTTAGACGGCAGCTATACCGCACGTACCCTCGCCATTAGCAAGTGCTACCAGGTGGCCAAGTCAAAAGGCTTCCGTATCTTTGCGGTCCAAAATGGCGGCTGGTGTGCCGGGTCTGCTGACGCCTGGAGAAGCTACTCGAAGTACGGGCCCTATACAACCTGCCAGAAGGACGGGGAAGGGGGAGCCTGGGGAAATGAGGTCTATCTCATCTCAGGTAATTTATTTACTACCTGGAGCTGAATCGTGCCTATTATTACCTTCGCCAAGAATTGGAGAAGGTTATGTTTTCCTGGCCGTGTGTGTGTGTGTGTGT